AGTAAGTTTAGAAGTAATTGTTTTCGGAAGTCTGAAGCACGACATAACATAAGTTGGTAGTGCTGCAGCTACCGATTTAATCATCACTTCTTTTCCACCTTTCGATAAAAATTTTGCCGACCATCCGTTAATTCTTGTTTGCAATCTATCTCTGACAAAAGAGAAAATTTTTGTTTTAGATCCACCCAAACTCTCTGGTAGACCAAGATAAGAACCCATCCCACCGATATTAGTGATTCCCAAGGTAGATTTGATTTCCTCCTTGATATCCTCATCTACCTTATGTCCAAACTGAATCGAAGATTTTAAAAAATTAATCTGCTGTCCGGAGACCGCTTCATATTTCTTTAAAATCCCTAATATTACCTCACATTGGTCCTTATTTGCCTTACAAAAGAATAAGCTATCATCCGCAAATAACAGATGTGAAACCGAAGGGCTTGCATTTGCTATCTTAATACCCGTAATTAGTTTTTGCCTTTCTGCTTTCCGAATATTCGCAATGAGTACCTCTGTACAAAGGATGAATAAATAAGGAGAAAGCGGGTCCCCTTGTCGTAATCCCCTTTCTGGTACAATTAGTCCTCTAGGTTGCCCATTAAGGAGCACTCTATATTGAACTGTTGTAATACACCACATTATCCAGGTAATCCATTTCTCACAGAAACCTAATTTTCTTAGAACCTTCTCAACAAAAATCCATTCCACTCTGTCATAAGCTTTACTCATATCAGTTTTAATGGCCATGAATTTTCCTTTACATGTCGGGTTAGTCCTCAACCCATGAAACATCTCTTGTGCAATAAGTATATTATCCGAAATCAATCGTCCTTCGACAAAAGCCGATTGTGTTTCCGAAATCAGTTTTGGTAAAACCGTTTTAAGTCTTTGACAAAGAATCTTCGATATAATTTTATAGCCCACATTACATAGACTAATAGGCCGTAATTCCGTCATCCGTGTCGGTCTTTCCGTTTTTGGGATCAGACAAATGTTTGTCGTATTTAACCGTTTATCAAAAATTCCATCCTCTAAAAAAGAATTAACCATCCACTTAATTTCTGTTTTTTTTATTTTACTCAATTATTTAAATCGAAAATACACATAATTAAAACAAAATACAATCTATACTATTAATTGGGAAGCATTTTGTGAACTACAACATTGTGAGGGTAGTTTAAGACTAACTAAATCAATTTTTATATGGGTAATTTAGTAAATAAACAACTACTACAAATAAATTAATATATTTGATTCGGATCCTTCATTAATTTTTTGCAAAAACAAATAACGAGATTAAATGATCCAATATATTCCGATATTTGCTTCGCAAATATTTTTGGTATGATTTGTCTACAAAAACAAAAAAAGGAAACAACATTAAATATTAAATAATAACTGAATATTCAGCATCAATATATTTATTTCGAATATAAATCGAAATATTTTGTATTTTTCAATTTATTAGAGATAAAAAAAATTCAACATAAATCGAATGTCATTAATTGAAAAATACAAAATATTTTAACAATAAAATCTAGGTAATAATATTTATGTTATAAATATATTCCGATATTTTCTCATTTACCAAATATAACAAATTAAGTACATAGCCAAAAAAATATGCGACATAAATTCCATTCAATATTTTGTTTTTGTCAAATCGTAATATGTAAACAATTAATAGTATCTAGAAAATATTTCCAAGATAGATTAAAATATTTAACATTTAATTAGAGTTTAAATGATATAAAATTTTAGAATATATTTTTTTAAAAATGGGTAGTTTTCATTATTTTAAGTATATATAACTAACCTAAATTTTTAATATATTTTTAAAACGTACTATAATAGTTACTATATCTCCAAATAAATTATTCAATTTCAAATCAAATAAATTATTTTATTTTGTATCAAATTGTTATAAGATTTTGGAATACACATTCTTCTAGAATTGATTATTTTCTTTTTCAAATAACATTAAAATAAATTTAAATACAAATGTTTTAATTTTTAATACAAATATTTCAAAATAAGAAATATTAAATTTAAGGAACTATTGAATTCAAATCAAGATGACTAATTTAACTAAGAGAAATTCCTAAAAATGGGCCTAAAACAAGTTTTATTGACAATAATAGCACACACTCCATAAACTTCCAAAAATAGCACTAGTTAACTTACTATTAGTGTTTTTGTTCTAACAATTTTATCACTAGCTTTTTTTTTTCAATAATACCACAACTTTTATATAAAAGCTATTCAACAAAATAAATTAGAAATAAATTTAAAATATTATATTTGGGTTCTCTATTTCCAATTTAGAGTATATATTTCTACCATTTAAAAGAGATTTTGATTCATTTTAATATTAGTTTATGGTATTATATTTGGGTTCCCTATTTCCAATTTAGGGTATATATTTTCACCATTTAAAAGAGATTTTTATTTTAATATTAGTTTGTGGTATTATATTTGGGTTCCCTCTTTCCAAATTAGAGTATATATTTCCACTATTTAAAACAATTTTGATTCAATTTAATATTAGATTAGTGTTTGCTCTCTTTTTTATTTTCTATCTTATATTTTCATTAAGTTAAATTGAAGTTTATGGTGCTATTTGTGGAACTTTTCAAATGAGGTGCTATTTTTGGAAAAAACAACTTTTTTGGGGCTATTTGTGTCAATCTCCCTTTAACTAATTACAAGCTACTTTTTAATTTACACAGTTTTTACAATTAATTCAAAATGATTCTCTAAATTTATTCACATTAAACTATCTCTTAGTTTTATGATTTTGTTAAGATTAGTTGATAGATCATTTATTTTTCAATTTGTTTTCATGTTTTAATTTACGGTATGTTTACAAATTTTAACAGAACATATGTTAATCCCCAAAACTTACAACCGTATATTGTACGGTGTTTAAAGATAAGTAAAAATGAACTCGGAAAATGATATTTAATGTAATATAACGAGAATAGGAATTATGAAACATGAATGACATGGAAGGAGACAGGACGAGATATAAACATAGATTTTAGATTAGAACAAGTTACAATTCAAACAAATTAACGTTTGCAATCAAATATGTAACATGTGTTTTCAATTTATATAGCATAAAAATGTTCAAAATAATAAATGTTATTATAGTATGTTCTATAATAGTTAAAATTTAAAAAACAAACAAATGTAATTTAATATTTATGAACAAAATATAAAACAATAATAATAAAGAAGTCAATTAATTTTGTAATATTTTTATTATATCATCATATAAAAATATACTATGAATTATATTTGTGTTTGTCCCAAACAAGATATCGAGAATTTTTGTTTCTGTCACGTCCTGTTTCTAATCGGGAATACAAAATTTGTCTTATATTAGAAATGCATTCTCTTATGAGATATAAATTGGAGAACGGGTAAGATATAATGGAACATGATAAAATTGAATGGGAATTACGCCTATCTCTAAATATTTATATTTCTCGTAAACGTAGTTAATCATTTTAACGGTTTTATCTACGGTTTGATAGTTTACAAGTTTAATGTTCACAAGTTTAATAAAAATCTATCTGACCATTAACTCGATTCATTTTGATCTCGGTCCGACCGTTTGATTGTTATGAATTTTAAAATACTACTAAAATCATTATTATTTCAAATATTTCAACCAACTAATATGAGTTTTGGTTATAGATACTATAACTATATAAATAATTTTTTTTAACATCAATCTAACTTTTTTATTATATCATATCATATAAAAATATACTATGAATTATATTTGTGTTTGTCCCAAACAAGGATATCGAGAATTTTTGTTTCCATCACGTCCTGTTTCTAATCGGGAATACAAAATTTGTCTTATATTAGAAATGCGTTCTCTTATGAGACATAAATTGGAGAACGGGTAAGATATAATGGAACATGATAAAATTGAATGAGAATTACGCCTATCTCTAAATATTTCTATTTCTCGCAAACATATTTAATCATTTTAACGGTTTTATATACGGTTTGATAGTTTACAAGTTTAATGTTCACAAGTTTAATAAAAATCTACATGACCATTAATTCAATTCATTTTGATCTTGGTCCGACCGTTTGATTGTTACGAATTTTAAAATACTATTAAAATCATTATTATTTCAAATATTTCAACCAACTGATATGAGTTTAGGTTATAGATACTATAACTATATAATATTTTTTAACACCAATCTAACTTATATTATATTTGAATCTAAGATTTTTTTCTAATCTACTCTTCAGTTTCAAACTCCAAATGACTTATGGTTGCTAATGCTATTGTGTCATAAACAAACATAAATAACATTTTTATACTTTTCTGTGTACATTATAATTTATTCAATACAATATATATCACTAAAACAACAAAATAATCATATATTTAATAAAAATTTATTACAACACATTTTTTAAAATATGAAATCCCGCACGTGTGTGCGGGTCAGGATCTAGTTAAAATATCCAATTAAGATATACATATCTACAAAATGGAGTACCTAATATTTTGTATATTGATTAATATACCAAGATATATATCATAAATTATAATAATCATAAACATTAATACATAAATGAAAATTTCACTAATCTTGATAATCATTAATGCAGCATCGTTTATCTAATAATATAAAAATCGAACTCTTTCAATATCATCAATACATTAAAATTGGTTAATAATTGTTTTGTCCCGCACTATATGCGAGTTGTTATCTAGTTTAAGTTTATTTTGTTGCCAAAAACTAAACAAACAAAATATAGAAAAACTATATATTAATTGAAAATCTAAACAAAAGCTACGAAACATTAATACATACACAAGTTCTGAAAATATTTAAGCAAAAATCTACTGCGGGTTCAGATATAGTCGTAATATATAAATGAAAACATTTGCAACCATAAAATATATTTAGTAGATTATTCCTACAAAGCACTAAAACTTTTGACCTTGGATCTGCCCAAATGTTACACGTCTTACTAATTTATGAAAAACAAAACTTTTGACTTAATGCCTTACATTTTTGCCAGCTTGCTTCATCAACAACTTTACTAACTCATCTCTTGTAAGGCTCAAACGGATATCTCTGAAACTCAGACCCGAAGGTTATAGATTCCTCGTCGAGTTTCTTCTTCAACCTCCTCCAAGTTCTCATCTTATTAGACTGTATTAATCCTTTATACAATGTCTCAAAAGTTAGCTTTTGTGGCAAGAAACCTTTCTCTATCATCTCCACAAAGTACCCACAAGCCTCCTTCCATTTCTCCTTACTACACAACCCATGAACCAACGAAGTATACGAGTCCAAATCCGGACCAGTTTCACTTGCTTTAAGATCATCCCATATCTCTTTCACAGTCTCCATCTTCCCCAAATTGATAAACGTTCCTAACAAAACATTATACGTCTGCGTACTTGGTTTACACAATCCATTCTTCATCTTCCTATATAGATTCATCGCTCCATCAGCATCATTCCTTCCTTTGTATTCCGTAAAAAAACAATTGTAAGTCGCAGAAGACGGGCTTATCCCAGTTTCCACCATTGTTTCAAGCAACTCTTCCGCTTCCTCCAATCTCCCACAAGAACACAAACATTTAACAACCGAAGTATATGTTTCAATCGTCGGGCTAATCCCTTTAGCCTTCATCAGTTTTAACTTATCCAACGTCAACTCAGCTTTATGAGCTCGACTATACATATGAAGCACGATCGAAAAACTCGTAACATCAGGTTCAATCCCTCTCTGACGCATTTCATCAAACACCTTCTCTGCATTCCTCACATTCCTCTCAAACCTTTCTTCCGGATGCAAACTCGCCGTCCGACAAATCCCGTTAAGCAAAACATTATACGTAACGACATTCGGTTCAATCCCGGATTCAATCATCTCTACCAAAAACTTCTCCGCCATATCAATCCTCCGAAGCTTACACCAACCAGCAATCAAAATCGTATAAACCTTCTCATCACACCCAAACTCTTCCTTCCGTTCATTAAAAACACCAACAGCCATCTTCGTATAACCGTATTTACAAAGCGTATCAAGCAAAAACCCGAATTCGACTAACCCGAAACGACGATTCTCGAGAAAACAAGGCGCATCGTCGAAAGCACGAACTGCTTGACGAGTAAGCCCGGCGGCGATTAACCGTTTAACGAGGATTAAAAACGTTTCCGGAGAAGTTTGATCCATTTCGACGATGAGTTGTCTAACAACGTCGAATTGACGAACACGGCCGAGGATATCGATGATGAGATTGAAGGAGGTTGGTGTTGGGGTTGAAGGGGAGGGTAAGGAGCGTAAATATTGGAAGAAGGAGAGGGAGATTTTGGAATTGTGACGGAGACGGAGGAGGGTTTGGTGGATGAGGTTGGGAGTGAGGGAGATGCCGTTGAGTTGGAGAGATGATTCCATGAAGTGGAATGGGTTGTGATTTGTTATTAGCATTTGGGAGATTAGTTCGGCGTCGGAGGAGGGTTCGAGTTTTGGGAGATTTAGAGTGAATCCGGTGGGGGTGATGGTGGAGATACGGCGGCGGAGTTGGTGGAGAGGGAACGGCGGTGAGATTTGCTTCAGCAGCATTTTTGTGACTGTGTTAAAAATTCCAGATTATGCCATGAGCCGTTAATGTGGAGATTTTTTAGAAGTTGGGTCGGGTAATTAAGGATTCTGGATTCGGGTCGGGTTCGGGTTTTATTTATGGTTTAGGCTAAACCCATTAGGTTTTGTTCCCGTGTTTGGCCCATTTAACCCCAAAATGAATCGAGTGGTTGAGACTGGCTTTGTGCCTTGGTGATACACGAGATAGGAAACTAAATTCAGAGAAAGTAATGTAGTGAAAGAGACCAAAGTTCAAAGATGGAAGATCAAGGAACGTTCATCATCCTCCATCGCCTTCATCCATTCCATTTTTTCCTCTCTTTTGTTAATTTTATAAGGAGGTTGATAATGTTGAGGAGTTTGAAGCGTATAAACAGAAACAATCATACAAAATAACAGCGATGCGGTTACACCAAAAGAAAGTATATTGCTTTTGTTTGGTGACTTGAATCTTGGTAAGAATAGCCACTTTTTTGCCATTCGAGAGAATGCCGGTTGATCAAAATCATTATCAAGGTTGTACAATCTTGGAGAGTTGATGCTACACTGTACGACTTCTTAATCACTCATTAACCATATGCTCTCTATCTTCTACCCACTGTGGATTGGATTCTGCCAAGGCATGTTCCAATATTTTCCCTCTCTTCACATCTTGAGTTCTTCTTCGGTTTGATTCAAGTGTTATTAGCAGAGCTGTTATGTCGGCAGGACTGACTCCGCCCACTCTGCTTGCCTGCCCGATCGTTTCTGGTCTCACCTGAATTTATAAATGTTTCACATCATAAGAAGATAATCTATAAATCACACTGATTCTACTCAAAACTACTTTAACACACCTTTGAAAGTTTTTCACGCCCTTCATGGGATAGAGTTGTCATCGAATAGTAATCCAAATCATCTGGAAGTCGTCTATGTTGCTGGTGGACCATCTATTAAGGATTTAGCTTTTAATTCCATGTCCATATATCCGAGTAAGCAAGTAGTATTTAATGGAGCAATGAAGCTAACACAAAATACCTGCTGCAGTTGGTTTTGCTGGCGCACAATGAAACCTTCATATTTTATATCGATCTCTACACAGTCTTTCTCCATTCTAGATAATGTTTCATTTCCAAAGCCATGCTTCTCAAGAAGCTTGTAGTGGATATGTGGTTTCTTTAGTAGACTCTCTAGTGTTGCTGATTCTTTGACTGGCTGAGAAGACACACTAGAAACTTCAGAAGCCAAATCACCTACTGCAACTGCAAGCAATACACTCATCAGCTTATGCATTGCACCTAATCCAGTTTTGCCAAGCCTTAAAATTTTTGCTCGAAGAGAGACAGAGAGCTCTATGGGTTAAAAGAATCAGGGAGTTTATCAAATTTCTTGGGCGTAAATACCCTCATCCCACAGACTATCCCATGTTTAAATGAATGCGAGGCCCAACAGTATAAGTTCGTTCTCAAAATAAACATTACTTGTGGGATGATTAGAATAGGGAGACAACCTGAAATCTTGACAGTTTTCAGTCTCTTCTTCTCTTCTGAAATCCTTGCTTGCTTCTCTTGGTATAACTTCCATCGTCTATCATCTATCAATCCAAGTTCACGCCCCAGAGGCGTGAGACGACTATCCGCATTATCGAATCGAAGAAGAAGCCGATGTTCTGAACGGCTGTCATTGAGAAGAAAAACACATTTGACTATTCCGTGTTATTAAACACACATAAGTAGTGATCAGGAACTTTAGTGGTAATAGGCTATAAGTTTATGGACAAAATCGTTCACGTGAACAGAAAAATAAATAAAGAAGTTAAACAAGTCATGGCCATGTAGCAGCATCAAGAAAAGTTAAAAGTCATTTTTTACTCCAATACTACTTCTTTCTTCAGTTCCACCAAACAAACGCTTATTTAACACAGAAAACTTGGTGATGAAAAATACCACTCTTATTACCCATCAGACGGACTTAGATGGTTACCACATACAAGGGGAAAGTTAAAAAGAAAACATATTTTCTTTCTACACAAATGTCAGGTTCTAATAAAAGCCTCCTAATATAACAATTTCTGATTCATATCTCTAGCCTAACCATATTATAGAAAGTAGATTGGAGGATTCATCATATAAATATAAAAGACTGCAGGAGAATTAGGATAATGAACAAAAGAACGAAATGGAAATTACCTTGTTAGCATGCGGTATGGCTCTCTGAGGTCTTTTGTGACTAAATCGTCAATCAACGTACCTATATAACTGCTTTCCCTCTCAAGAACAACGTGTTTCTTACCGTCTGCATGTCTGGCAGCATTGATTCCAGATATAATACCCTAAATTTGAAATCGAAAATGGTATCACTATGTGTACAAAGTCTAAACAGCAGTATTCATTCTAGTATTAGTAATATTTTTTATTTCCATATCATCCGAGTAAACCTATTATCATGAATAAAGGTCCATAATTAAGGAAATTAAAATCTCGTAAAGATCAGTCACCTGTGCAGCAGCCTCTTCATAACCAGTAGTGCCGTTGATCTGACCAGAGAAGAAAAGACCTTCAATTTTCTTTGTCATAAGGGACCTAGAACACTGGTGAGCTGGCAAATAATCATACTCAACAGCATAGGCAGGCCTAAGCATGGAGCAATTTTCAAGTCCTGGCAAGCTTCTTAGAAGTGGCAACTGGAGATTCTCTGGCAGACCAGTTGAAAATCCCTATGAAATACCAAATTACCAATCCATGAGAATGCTAGTGATACCAAAGACATTACACTCTAACAAAACACTCATAAGAAGATATATACCACGCCTTGAAAGACTTGATAATTAGCAAACAAGCTAAGACTTACAAACCCTCACATTAAACTACTGAGCAGTAACAAACTTCAGGCTTGCTCTACCTATACATAAAGAAAATTCCTGGACAAGCATATGGCTTAGATATTAACATAGACGACAAACTAAATTTCTTTTCCATCCTTAGGCTTCACACTTTTCCACTACCGAAGAAGATAACAATTAAAGAAATCATAACTAAGTTATGCATCAACCTGCACATAAATCTCAGGAACATCTCGGCCCTCTGGTTCCAGGAATATTTGATGGGACTCTTTGTCTTTGAACCTAACAATCTGAAACCAAATAAGATTTTAAGACTGGTAAATTCATATAAGATTTTCTAAAGTGTATAGGAAAAGCAGTTTAAGAGAGAGATGGTTCAATATATTCTTTGTGCCAACTGTAGAAACAGCAAATGCAAGATTGCTTTAAGAAATTACAAGAATCACCGTCAACACTAGAGCATAGAAGAGACCTTTCAGGACTTTACAGGAAGTCAGCATATATAATTTGCTTATGTGACATCATTCAAGGTAGAAACAAAGAAATATCATTAAACTGAGACCAATTTAGAAACGATTACTGCTTTATTACTCTTTGAGAAATGACTTACACTTACTGAACCAAGAATAAACATCTAAGGAACCAAAAGGGTGTGTTCTACAGAACGTAAACTCTCCCAATGCCCTCCAAAAGGCCTCAAAACCAACCAAAACACTCAACAGCCCCACTGATTTGTTCCATCCCCTATTTTTACTCATGCTTCTTTCTAGACTCTAACTAATTTTCTAAACATTATGTAGCAGCTGAACTTGTCTCCTTATAAAGACTTATCAATATATGTTTGCATGTTGAAGCGGGATCCAGTCTGAGAATTACTTTTGTCTAGCAAATTTAGGTTTCCATGGTCCTGCTCACAATTAGATTCTAGTATGTGGCACAAACATTACCAAGTGTATCAAGAACAATCAGCTCAAGAATATGAAAGGTAGATGAACAATGTCTGATGTAACTTCCCCTTGGTCCAAGAAAGAGATAATACAAATCAAAAGAGGGAAAAGAATTTACCTTATCTTCGATGGAAGGGCAGTACCTAGGACCTTTTGCTTCAACCCATCCACCATAAGTTGGGGTCTCATGCAAATTATCCCTGATCAATTGGTGTGTAATCTTTGTCGTGCGAGTTAGGTAGCAGCACATTTGCTCTCTCTCAATATGAAAATCTGGGTCGAAACTAAACCAGCTGACCTGAGAAGAGAAAAAATGTTCAGCATCTTCAAATACAAAAGGCTCATGAATCCCTTTGGTTAGAAACCAGAGAAAGAAATGAATTCCATTGGTGAGAAATTTTTTATAAAGCGCCAATAAATTTGGTCAAACTGATCTGGTCAAGAAAGTGTAAAAGACTTTTGCGTGCTGCCTAACTGGCTACTCGCTAACTGAGACGCTTTAACCCATGTAACCATGCATTATTGATCATGAATAGGCTACTTTATAATTGTATAGTAATACCTCTTCGTCTCCATGTTGAGCCTCCAAATTGGAAAAGTCTATAGTCCGGCGATCCACACGCGCTGGAGTACCAGTCTTTAAGCGATCAGTTTCAAATCCAAGTTTCTGCAAATTTTCTGTTAATCCTTGTGAAGCTGACTCGCCAGCTCTTCCAGCTGGCATAGACTTTTTACCGACCCAAATCTTCCCACTCATAAAGGTTCCAGTGGTAAGAATAACAGAAGGTGCATAGAAGTTCATCCCGAAAAAGGTGGCCACTCCTTCCACATTGTCATTCTTCCCAACTATGATATCTGTTACCATTGCCTCTCTAATACAGAGATTTTCAGTGCTGGCATAAGGAAACATTACAGTTGTTAGCCAGAATAGAAGAAATTATAAACAATTGACAAGAAACATATACACCTTGTAATTCAAGATTGTATTCTTGCCATAACTTGTAATGAGTAAATTTGAATTTTAAGCATTTTACATTGGCTTGAGAATTATATACAAAGCATTGCACAAAATTTAGAATTGTAACCCCAAAAAGGATATG